TGGAGTCAATTTGGGTCAGCACCCCTTGGAATACTTGCTTAAAGGAGAACTATGAGGGGAGTGCTTTTCACTCACCTCATAGTTCTAGCTGACCTGTGACAATGAGACTGTCACAGGTCGGCTCAGTAGATCGGGAGGTTACATAGTTACATAGTATTTGGGGTTAAATAAACACATACGTCCATCAAGTCCAACCCATATAGGTCCACGCATCATCTCATTCTTAGGGATACTGGTATCCCTGGATATTACGGCCCCTCAAGAAATTGTCGAAACGTTTCTTGAACAAATCTACACTCTTGGCTGAAATCACTGCCGATGGCAGTAAGTTCCGGACCTTAACCGCTCTTATTGTAAAGAACCCTCTTCGCCCATTGTGCTGGAATTTTTTCTCCACCAACTTTAGGTGGTGGCCTCTAGTCTTTGTAATGGAGTTAATCTCAAACAGTTTGTTGCCAATGTTGCTGTCACCATTAAACATCTTGTACATAATACAATTTATACCATTCCCCAGGCAGGCCATGCGGCCCTGGGGATTTCCCATTAGGGAATGAAGCAATGGCCGCCAGTATCTCAGAAATCGACACATCCGCATCCAGACCGCCACTGTCCACCACATCCAAAGCCGGCAAGGATAAGCCCCCCAGGAGTCCCTCCAGGCGCTCCGAATCATACGTTGGGATCCTAGAATATAAATGTTGGTAATACCTCTGAAACTCCTGGAGTATGTCTCGAGGCTCCGTAACTCGATTACCCCCCTCCCCCATAATACATGGAATAGATGTTTGAGTTCTCTGATCCGCCACCAGGAGGGCCAAAAGTCTACCATTCTTGTCACCCCGTTCAAAGAGTGATTCACGGAGTTCCCGCAAGGAGCATCTGGTCATCTCCACATGATGTAAATGGAGGGCTCTGCGTGCCACTCTCAGTGCCTCCAGAGAATACTCTCCCGGGGAATCCGCGAAAGCCGCCGCACACCCAGACTCCACTCTCTGCAACTCCTCCAATGTAGCGTTGAACTTATTGAACATATTCCCCCCTCACATTAGCTTTAAAGGCATCCCACACCACACTAGGGGATGCCGTACCCTCATTCACCTTCCAGTACCCATCCATAGCGGGGACAATATGGGCCGAAACCGCTTCCACGCTTAGCCAAGTCGGTGACAGCCTCCAACACCCAGAGCCCCTCGGACCGGGGAGCAACAAGGAAATCGAGATGGTATTGCCCTGCCGGTGGGCACCCGGTGCGCCTGTTCCACCACGAATGTAGGGGGCAATGTGTCAAGCGCCAGAACTTTTTTAAACAGGGTTTCAGCAAAGTGTACCGCATCCGTTCCCTCTTCCCCCTCTGGTATTCCAATAATGCGCACATTATTTCTCCTCATGCGGTTCTCCGCGTCATCCACCTTTGCAGCAAGTACACGCACTGTATGTTGCAAATCAGTAATCGCAGCAGTATGGCCCTGCACCGTGTCCTCCACCTGCGACACCCTCGTTTCTGCCGTGGTTAAGCGTGAACGAATTTTGTCTAAGTCATGGCGTATCAGGGTGCATTCAGCAGCCAGGTGGTCTATTTTGGCAGTGAGAGTGACCTGGCGCCCCTCAATCGCAGCCAGGATAGCAGATGTCCCCGCAGCTCCTGGGGTATGTGGCTCAGGCTCCCCAGTAGTAGGTGTACGTGATGGCCCTTCACTCACCCCCTCCACGTTATCCCCATCCATGTTGAGCAGCGGCAGGAGAGGCCCAGGGACAAGCACAGGGGAGTTCAAGATGGGCCTTTCCCCCACCTGAGCCCTTCGTTTTCCGGGTGGATCGTCTCAGCGCTGCGGCACGTCTGCGGGAGCTGGCGGACATAGATCATCGCTCAGGTGAGTCCAGCACAGCGTGAGGGACCTGGACCGGTCAAATGGTGCGGTAGGCAGGAGATAGTTCAGGATTTCCCGAGCGGAGGCAGCGGAGCTTCACCCGACACGTGCGCTCCCTCTCACATCGCGGCCACGCCCCCCT